CGATCGCGAGCTCAGAGAGTGAGCGGTTTAGCCGTGGTTCTCCGCCGAAGAATTTAAGGAGGGGCAACGTGATTATCCGAGCGGGGGTGATCATGCTCGAGTTCACCGCCCAGTCTTGTTGCTCTCCCCATCTCGCTCTGCCCGTCGAGCCTTTTGGTCTCCCAGGGTGATTTAATATTACCCCTTTTCCTATTCTGGTCATCGGTGTTTGCTGTCTCTTTCCCCCGCCAGACTGCGAAAGGTCCTAGTCGAGGTAAACGGTGCCCCCATACCACCTCAAGAGCGACTGTTTCCCCGGCGTGCCCTTGCTGGAGATTGTGCATTCGGGCGACGCGTGACGCATGCTAGTGGCAGTAACGGTGCGCGCGCAAATCAGGCATCACGTCGAGCACAGGCCATTCATGACCGCCCCACATAATACCAGCCACCGCGTGGATGGAATCAGCACGTGGATTACATGAGCAAGGCTCAGATTCAGAATCCTCGGTATCTTGTTGTTCCTCCTATTGATCGTCCTTGTTCCTGCGGTTATCGTCCTTCTCGTTCTTCTCTATCCTCCTGCCTCCGCCCCCCCCCATCCTCCTCCCCCTCGCAACGCGATGCTTGTCTCAGCCCCATGGGCATGCACCAAAATATGTCCAAGGCTGAAGCATCGCACTTTGCGTCGGGAGGGGGGGCTCATAAATTGCATAACCAGCCACTTCATCATCTTCCTTATCTACAGCATCATGCGCATTATCGGTGTCCTCTTCTTCGCTGGCGCAGTTCTAATTTCACTGAGATCACGGTCCGGATTCGTAGTGCCATTGCCATTTTCTTCCAATTTCGGAAGATCTGGCACCCGCATGTTCCCGTTGAGTTCAACAGCATTGTGTTCAGATGTTTCTTGCTCAATACATGGATGTCTGGGTTTACGGCCCTCGCGCTGACGCCCAATGATTACAATTGGTTGCAAGCTGCACTTCTTAGAATTGCCCAAAAGGCATTGCGGCAGCAGGCTTATAACCATGGTGTCACTGACGACGGAGAGATCACATACACGTCTCTGTCATTTGGGGAGATCGGGAAGATCCTTGGCATTGCCACTGCACACATCATGAGGTTACAGCTCTTTCAGGCCATCGTAAAACGCATGTACGCGCACTCTGCGCACATCACAGCTGCGTTCGGCACGTTCGATTTCGAATCAAGGAGACACGGAAGGAGAGGAGATAGGCATGTTGGGAGTCATGGAGGACGTCATGGAGGAAGATATGGGGGACAGGATGGAGGAGACCAAGGGGAAGAAGGACGACTCGCATTAAATCCGTGGGCAAGACAGAACACAAGTGATATTTCTGCTTTGATGGATGTCGCCGAAGAGTTGTTTAGATTCCGGGATGAGTTTCATGATGCTCGCCAGATGTTTGTGCCGAGAGGACATGAAAGAGGCGTTCACATACGTGGGTATAACCATACTGCGGAGAGGATTCACATGCGTTGCTATACCTCCTCCTGGCACGGTTCCACCACCTCCCGGCCCCCCACCTGTTTCATCCTTTTCCTCTTCGTCCAAGTCGTTCCAGTGCACGCACTGCGTACATATAGGGGAAGATTGTGACATGTATTTCCTTAGCGTTTCTGCACTACTTACCCACATCCGTCAAGTACGCAGGCGTCATAAACTACCAGCTCTTCTCAGTGTGTCTTCTCTGGTGTTCAACGACGCGTGCCCCTGGTGCATGTCATCTATTTCTTCGCGGCACAGTGCTAGGGACCATGCTACAAGGGCCTTCATCAATGGCGATTGCACTGCAGATCTGTCATTACAGCCAGATATCACCGCCTCGCACGAGATCGATCCACCTTGTCCTATACGTAGCGTACAGTGTCGCACAATGGGCGAATGTGGCTTGCACGTTCGTTCTCATATGTCGCCATCTTACATTGAGATCGAGTGCTTCCCTAGGATTGCAGAAGTTCCGTTGCCGTGCCCATCTGAATTTACATTCACATATCCACCTCGCTATGGACCTCGGCCAGGAGCTGTCGTCCGTGGCGGTCGGGCGCGCGGAGCACCGCGCCAAGCGGGTGGCCGTGGAGAAGGAGCGGGACATGGAGAAGGGCGATTACAAGCGGCTCACGGAGTTCCTCGTCATTCTGTCCAAGCTGTGCTTATCCAACTCCCAGATGAGACGGGTGTTCCAAGGGATCTTTCTGACGTGTTGGATGCTCCCCGCAGAGTGCGAGCTATGCAAGTCTGTGAAGCGTTAAGCGGGGACCAAGTCGCATTCCGACTCATTGGAGAAGCTCCAGGACGAGGGGCTGCAGAAAGAGGCTATATCTCGGAAGATTGGTCCACAATATGTGGTGGCATGGCTATCCATGGGCAAGTAGGTGTACGATGCTCTCCGGAATCATCCCACCCTAAAGGACCAGCACACAGCCCTGGCCAAAACCATCGAGGATTATCTCCAGACATATCAGCAGATAGGCATCGAGAGAGCATGGCCGATCATTCAGAAAGAAGTGAAGCACTTCCGCCTGGCGGATGCGTGCAACAAGGCTTGCAAGAAACTTCAATGGAAACTAAAGGAGAACACCGAGGCATCAGGCCTCATTCCGGGCCTGCTGCTGTGCCTCAGGGTGCAGGACGCCAGGGCCATGGATTCCGTGCCCCCGCCGGGGGATCTGGAGCGCCGCGTGCAGCAGTGGCTCGACAAGCAGAACCAGTAGATACGGCCAGAGAGACGCATGATGTAGAATCTTTGATCAGAGCGCATTCGATAGAGAAGCTTCGCGAGCTAGCCCCCCAACGCCAGCTTCCCACTTCTGGCAACAAGCGTCAGATTGCAATCATAATTGCCAGATACATGATTCGCTCATAGCGCGCCAGCATCTCTCGAATTGCACGTTCTCTATTTCTCTCCTGTCTTGTCTGCCGTCTTTCGATATCTTCGTCTTTCCTTCGTTCTCTTCGTCTTTGCCTCCTCCTGTTGTCTCCTTCGTCCTCTTCTCTGGCTTCTGCGCTTGCTGCTGCCGGTCTTCCATTTCACATCCACGCTCTGTCACGCATGCTGAAGCGAGTTGCGATGGCTGCACGAGCCTCAGCCGGGGGGCCCAGGGCGTGCGCCCCGACGGGCTTTCTCGGCGGTGGGGCCACGCCGGGTCTGCCGGTAGCCACCGCTACGGGCATTTTTTCTGCGCCAATCTTCCAAGCTTTCACTTGCAGACAAGGCATGGTGCCACAGAGCGAGTCGAGTCGAGTCGAGCCTCCTCCCCCGCCTCCTGCTCTTCCTCTTCCTCCTCCTCCTCCTCCTCCTCCTCCTCCCCCGCCTCCTCTTCCTCCTCCTCCTCGTCCTCCCCCTCCTCCTCCTACTGCACCTCCTCCTCCTCCTCCTCCTCCTCCTCCTCCTCCTCCTCCTCCTCCTCCTCTACATTCCCTTCTCTTCATCAGGAGCTCCTGCAGCAAAATCGGCCGCAATCGTTGTCAGGCCGTTCGCTCGCCTCTCCCCGCGCGTCGCTCCACCCGTGTGCCCGCGCCCTCGGTGCCCGCTCCCTCCGCCCCCCACGGCGCCCCCCCCTCGGGGCGGTTTCCGTCTCCCCGCGGAGGCGGGCGGGCTCGGACTGGCGAGCGGGCGGATGGACCCCGCAGAGGGCGGCCGCGCGTGCCGCCCAGGCCTTCGGCGCCCGCGCTCTTCGCCCTCGACCATGCCCCCCCCTCGGGCGGGCCCCCCCTCGCCCTCCCGAGGGGGCGGGCGGGCTCCCACGGGCCAGCGGGCGGCTGGACCGCCCCACTGGCGGTCGGGCCGTGTCGGGCTGGGCAGGCCAGGTCGGACGGCCTCCATGCACGCGCGGTGACGAGGCGGCTGGGAGGAGGCAAGAAAGAGTGAAGGAAGCAAGGGAAGGGAGGACGATGAGCAGGAAGAGGACATGAGAGGACGACAGCGAAGAGGACATAAGAGGACGACAACGAGAAGGAGGAGGAGGAGGAGGAGGAGGAGGAGGTGCAGGAGGTGCAGGAGGAGGAGGAGGAGGAGGAGGAGGAGGAGGAGGAGGAGGAGGAGGAGGAGGTGGTGCAGTAGGAGGAGGAGGAGGAGGAGGAGGAGGAGGAGGAGGAGGAGGAGGAGGAGGAGGAGGAGGAGGTGCAGGAGGAGGAGGAGGTGGAGGCTGAGGATCAGGAGCGGGAAGGAGAGGGAGGGCGAGGACGAGGAGGAAAGAGAGAAGGAGGCATAGAATTTGAAACCCTCACGATGCTTCACGTCGGAGCTGCGGATCCCGCCAATGTCAAGTAGGAGTTGGAGCATCCGCGGTGTATTCAGGGGAGCTTCGAGCTCAGATGTGCAGATGCCTTGAAGCACTCAGGACAGTGGGATGCATTGGGGCCAGGTTTGGTTCGAGGGCGCGAATTGTGGACCACCCCGCTGGGCTGTTGTCGTTGCGGGTTGGCCCTGAGGCAACTCAGCTTCGCCAGGATCGATTCTACGTGCGAGTCGATGAGTTTGTCCAAGCCCAGGTGCGACTAGATATATGATTCGCCGCACAGGGTTTCGCGACAGGGGCAGCGGAACTGGCCCCCGGGCAGGTTGATCATATGTTTGGCAGACGCTGTCGGTGCTGCTGCCGCTCCTCCGCCACCTCCGCCACCTCCCCTCCACAGTGTAAAACGCTCGGCGCCTCCTCCTGCTGCTAGCTCCTCCTCCTCCTCCTCCTCCTCCTCCTCCTCCTCCTCCTCCTCCTCCTCCCCTCGTTGTCGTCCTCCATCCTCCTCCTCCTCCTCCTCTCCTCCTCCTCCCTCCCTCCCTCCCGTCCTTCCTTCCTCCCTCCATCCCTCCCTCCTCCTCCACCTCCTCCTCCTACTCCTCCTCCTCTCCATCTCATCCTCATCTTCCTCCTCCTCCTCCTCATCCTCCCCCTCCTCCTTTGTTCTCTTCTCCTCCGCATGGTACTCATCCTCCTCGCTTTCCTCCTTCTCTTTTTCTTGCTCCTCCCTTTGCCCCCCCCCCCGTTCGCCGCGGCAGGCTCCTCCCAGGCATAGACCCCAGCCCGCACAACGTCGTCCTCGCCGCGCGCCCCGCGGACGCGCCCGGCCTCCCGCCCTCCGAGGAGCGCGCGCGCGCGCCGTGCGTCCCGGCCACGTCCTCGGTCGAAGGAGGGGGAGAATTCGCCCGGCCTACAGCCCCACGGTGGCCTTGCAGCATCGCTCCTCCCTCCTCCTCCTCCTCCTCCTCCTCCTCCTCCTCCTCCTCCTCCTCCTCCTCCTCCTCTTCCTCCTCCTCCTCTTTCCAAAGAGCGCCAGCGAATTGTTAACGCTTCGAGAATCCCCACCAGCCCATCCAGAAACGATGCCCAGAGGAATTGCCTCGAGCAGGGAAACGGGCGGCACACAGAGGAAGGGTCCCCCAGGGGAGGCTTCTTGGAGCGTCTTGGGGGCCTGTTGGCGGTCCCAGACGCCTCTTAGAGCGTCTTGGGTGCCTCGGAGAGCTTCTTGGGGCCTCTTGGGGGTCTCTTCGGAGCCTCTTGGAGGCCTCTGGGGCGCCCGTTGGGGCCTCCTGGGGCCTCCTGGACGCCTCTTGGGGCCCTCTTGAAGCGCTCTTGGGAGCCCTCTTAGGCCATCTTGGAGCCATCTTGAGGCCTCGGCGAGAAATCAAAAAACGTGGATGTTGCAAAGGTTTTGGAAGGATTTGGGCCTCTTCGGGGCCTCCTGGGGGAGCTCACTTGGAACCGTCTTGGAGCGGTCT